GGGCAGAGACCAGAATTTCACATGCCCATACTGCCTCCCATTGCCGTGCGAGGGCTGAATGCAGCGTCACGTGCTCCTTTCCGTCCTTCGTAACAGGCCCTTCCCGACAAGAGATGAGCCACGCCACCAGCCAGGGAACCCCCCACACCAGACGGCAGGCCACGCGCGGAAATCCTTTTCTTTTCGTTCAGCAATACGCAAGTGCGCTTGATCGGTGACATACGGAGGCAGTCATGCATCCCGCGCGCCTACGAACAACCCCGGGGGGCCGCCGCAGTCTCCAAGGACCAAAAGCCCACCAGAGCCACACAGGCCAGAGGGCCACGCGCAGCATTCTCCATAGCTTCGCCCGCCACTTGGATTCTCACACCGCAGCTCACATCGCAATCCACGCACATGTATGTATGCATACATGACCCCCCGATGACCACTGGTTTCACTGCCGAGGATGTAGCTGGAAGAGGATACACCCGATCAAAAGATGCGGGTAGGCGCAGGCCGCAAAGCTTACTGCTTGCAATCAGCGCTGCGCCCGAGCCGTTCTGGTCTGCTGCATGCCAGGGTGACTGGATCTCTACCCCGCCAATGCGCCATGTCGATCTTCTTCATTCCGCTCCATCCAGGCCCCGTTCGTCCGAGACGTGTGCTGGAGGGTGAATCTGGCAGTGCCAAGACGCCTGATGCGCCTGCCATTCACGTCGCGAACCGTGAACCTCTCTTTTTTCACAACGGCCTCAGCGGATGCATATCTAGTTTCACCTCGCCCGAACCAGAGAAGGAAAGAGTCCTCAAAGGGTCACGTGACTGATTTGACTCGGCCGAGAGTCATCCCCTACGTTAGCTGGAGACGTTGAAGAGAGCATTAGAATTTGATTCACGAGACTTGCGATTGCGTGCTCAGTCATTTCCGTTGCTGCCTCGTCGGCGTTTAGCGACACGAGTCGATCCGTGTTCGATCAGGCTTTGCCCCAAGAAAACGCCTTTGCTTTCTGCTCTTGTGACGCCCTGACAAAGGTGCACTGCGCAACGCAAGCCGGCAGGCACAGTCAAGGCGTCGCGCGTAAGTGGGGTGCGACAGGCCTACGAACGACATCATGCGCTGTACCGTGTGTGTGTGCTCTCCTCCATTCAACAGGCCGTGTGTCTATTCCCGAACACCCCGCAGTCTCCGGGGCTGTACCATCTGCAGGCTGCAGCCAAGTCTTCTTCCGGGTTGAGTACAAGGGAGACACGTCTCTTTCGTAGGATGCATCGTCTACTCTTATTCCCTTGCGTTGTCTCTATAGCATACCCTCATCTTTCGATGTAGACCTCGAGCGATCCACACCATTGGCACTTTCGATTCCCTGACATTGAACGCTGCGCCTCACACTGACAGTCGACTGCAAAGATGACGGTCGGGCAATCCACTTCCGCGGCAGGGGCGATCGATACCCGCGTCGCCGCTGTCGTCGCGAACTTGCCCAAGATCAACGAGCAGCTGGCAGATGCGACGCCCAAGGAGATTCTCGAGTGGTCCATCGACAACCTGCCCAACCTCTACCAAACCACCGCCTTTGGCCTCACTGGCTGCGTCACGCTCGACTTGGTCAGTCGGATATCGCAAGAGCGAGCCGCCCAAGCAGGACGCGTGAGTCACTACGAAGGTGCTGTCTCTCTTTCGAGCGAACATATCGCTGACGCGCACACTCGATACGTGTTGATTTCTCTGCAAGCCCGCTGAGCACCTCGTGCCACTCATCTTTGTCGACACCCTCTACCACTTTCCGCAGACGACCAATTTGGCGCACCGCGCCGCACAGCACTACGGCGCACCGATGCACGTGTACACGCCGTCGAGTCTCAACAGCTCGGCCGAGTTTGAGAAGGCGTACGGCCAGATGTTGTGGGAAAAAGACGAGGAGCTGTACGACTACCTGGTCAAGGTCGAGCCAGCGCGGAGAGCATACGACGAGCTCCACGCCAAGGCTGTCTTCACTGGGCGCAGGCGGAGTCAGGGAGCGGACCGCGCATCGCTGTCCGCTGTCGAGGTCGACGAGACGGGCCTCATCAAGGTGAACCCGCTGCTCAACTGGAGCTTCAAGCAGGTGGACGAGTACGTCAAGGCGAACGCAGTGCCGTACAACGAGCTGCTCGACATGGGTTACCGTTCCGTCGGCGATTGGCACTCCACGGCGCTCCCTGGCGCCGACGCCGGCGAGCGCAGCGGCCGCTGGAAGGACAAGGCGGGAAAGACCGAGTGCGGGTTGCACCAGGACTACTTCCAGCTCAAACGCTTGGCGCAGAAGAAACTCCGCGAGGCAGAGCTGGCGCGGAAAGATGAAGCAAAGGACAAGGACGAGGCCGAGGCCGAGCAGGCCCTCCTCGCGTCGATGCAGCAGCAGCCCGCCGTGCCTGAGCTCGTCCCATGAAAGATGAGGACCTAAGCGGACACTTGGCTCGTCCCCCCAGCTAGACTCGCCCCGCGCCGGATGGGAAGCGTTC